GCACATCCAACTCGACCGTGGTTATCTCGAACGGGCAGTCCTTCTGTGAAATGTGTAAATTTTCATATCATAGAGAGAAGAACAATACAGAAATGACCAATTCGTGCAACCACGGCACCCTGGGCCTGAAGACAGGGCGTTTGTCAGTGTTGGCGAATTTCAGAACAACCAACCCAACACCTAGAACCGTACATCGTGGTGCTAAGGGAAAATCGGACACATATCAGTAAATACAGAATACCTCACACAATTGTCCGCAGGTGATTTGTCACCCTTAACGGCTATTGTGATGATTAATACAAATTCGAAACTGTTGGGCAGAGCATTTTGTTGGCAGTTCGGGGTGCCTAGAGGTGTAGTACCCAAGCCAAACCCGGCGTATTTCTCATTCAAGCATCCGATCCCCGTTCGTTCGGCCTTTCCACCTCCCAAAACTGCGGTTGAACCCATCCTGCTCTTTGTGGTTGATGTTCGGGCCGGTGTACCCTGGCAACGGCGTGTCAATATGAATGGATTGCTGGGGTGCCGACGGCTGGTACATCATTGTCGTCCACTCCAGGTGACTGGCACGTGCATGTATAGTCGACCGTTGGACGAAAGGTCGTGTTGGTCGAAACGTATCAGATCATGGTAGGCAGAGCATTTCGTTGGCAGTTCGGGGTGCCTAGAGGTGTAGAACCCAAGCCGAACCCGGCGTATTTCTCATTCAAGCATCCGATCCCCGTTCGTTCGGCCTTTCCACCTCCCAAAACTGCGGTTGAACCTATCCTGATCTTTGTGGTTGATGTTCGGGCCGGCGTACGCTGGCAACGGCGTGTCAATATGAATGGATTGCTGGGGTGCCGACAGCTGGTACAACATTGCCGCCCACTCCAGGTGACTCGCCCGTGCATGTATAGTCGACCGTTGGAGGAAACTTCGTATTGGTCGCACGTATCAGACTAGGGTAGGCAAAGCATTTCGTTGGCAGTTCGGGGTGCCTTGAGGTGTAGAACCCAAGCCAAACCCGGCGTAATTCTCATTCAAGCATTCAAGCATCCGATCCCCGTTCGTTCGGCCTTTCCACCTCCCAAAACTGCGGTTGAACCTATCCTGCTCTTTGTGGTTGATGTTCGGGCCGGCGTACGCTGGCAACGGCGTGTCAATATGAATGGATTGCTGGGGTGCCGACAGCTGGTACAACATTGCCGCCCACTCCAGGTGACTCGCACGTGCATGTATATTCGACCGTTGGAGGAAACTTCGTGTTGGTCGAAACGTATCAGATCGTGGTAGGCAGTGCATTTTTGTTGGCAGTTCGGGCTGCCTAGAGGTGTAGAACCCAAGCCAAACCCGGCGTATTTCTCATTCAAGCATTCAAGCATCCGATCCCCGTTCGTTCGGCCTTTCCACCTCCCAAAACTGCGGTTGAACCTATCCTGCTCTTTGTGGTTGATGTTCGGGCCGGCGTACGCTGGCAACGGCGTGTCAATATGAATGGATTGCTGCAGTGCCGACAGCTAGTACAACATTGCCGCCCACTCCAGGTGACTCGCATGTGCATGTATATTCGACCGTTGGACAAAAAGTGGGATGCGTCGAAACGTATTAGATTAGGGTAGGCAGTGCATTTTGTTGGCAGTTCAGGGTGCCTAGAGGTGTAGAACCCAAGCCAAACCCGGCGTATTTCTCATTCAAGCATCCGATCCCCGTTCGTTCGGCCTTTCCACCTCCCAAAACTGCGGTTGAACCCATCCTGCTCTTTGTGGTTGATGTTCGGGCCGGCGTACGCTGGCAACGGCGTGTCAATATGAATGGATTGCTGCAGTGCCGACAGCTGGTACAACATTGCCGCCCACTCCAGGTGACTCGCACGTGCATGTATATTCGACCGTTGGACAAAAATTGGGGTGCGTTGAAACGTATCAGATCATCGTAGGCAGAGCATTTTGTTGGCAGTTCGGGGTGCCTAGAGGTGTAGACCCCAGGCCAAACCCGGCGTAATTCTCATTCAAGCATCCGATCCCCGTTCGTTCGGCCTTTCCACCTCCCAAAACTGCGGTTGAACCTATCCCGCTCTTTGTTGTTGATTATCGGGCCGGCGTACGCTGGCAACGGCGTGTCCATATGAATGGATTGCTGCAGTGCCGACAGCTGGTACAACATTGCCGCCCACTCCAGGTGACTCGCACGTGCATGTTTATTCGACCGTTGGACAAGAATGGGGATGTGTCGAAACGTATTAGATTAGGGTAGGCAGTGCATTTCGTTGGCAGTTCGGGGTGCCTAGAGGTGTAGAACCGAAGCCAAACCCGGCGTAATTCTCATTCAAGCATTCAAGCATCCGATCCCCGTTCGTTCGGCCTTTCCACCTCCCAAAACTGCGGTTGAACTCATCCTGCTCTTTGTGGTTGATGTTCGGGCCGGCGTACGCTGGCAACGGCGTGTCAATATGAATGGATTGCTGTAGGGCCGACAGCTGGTACAACATTGCCGCCCACTCCAGGTGACTCGCACGTGCATGTATATTCGACCGTTGGACGAAAGGTCGTGTTGGTCGAAACGTATCAGATTAGGGTAGGCAGTGCATTTCGTTGGCAGTTCGGGGTGCCTAGAGGTGTAGAACCCAAGCCGAACCCGGCGTATTTCTCATTCAAGCATCCGATCCCCGTTCGTTCGGCCTTTTCACCTCCCAAAACTGCGGTTGAACCTATCCCGCTCTTTGATGTTGATTATCGGGCCGGCGTACGCTGGCAACGGCGTGTCCATATGAATGGATTGCTGCAGTGCCGACAGCTGGTACATCATTGCCGCCCACTCCAGGTGACTCGCACGTGCATGTATATTCGACCGTTGGACGAAAGGTCGTGTTGGTCGAAACGTATCAGATTAGGGTAGGCAGTGCATTTCGTTGGCAGTTCGGGGTGCCTAGAGGTGTAGAACCCAAGCCGAACCCGGCGTATTTCTCATTCAAGCATCCGATCCCCGTTCGTTCGGCCTTTCCACCTCCCAAAACTGCGGTTGAACTCATCCTGCTCTTTGTGGTTGATGTTCGGGCCGGCGTACGCTGGCAACGGCGTGTCAATATGAATGGATTGCTGTAGGGCCGACAGCTGGTACAACATTGCCGCCCACTCCAGGTGACTCGCACGTGCATGTATATTCGACCGTTGGACGAAAGGTCGTGTTGGTCGAAACGTATCAGATTAGGGTAGGCAGTGCATTTCGTTGGCAGTTCGGGGTGCCTAGAGGTGTAGACCCCAGGCCAAACCCGGCGTAATTCTCATTCAAGCATCCGATCCACGTTCGTTCGGCCTTTCCAC